TGTTGTAGCCACTTTGTCAATCCATCTCACTGACGATGGCCAATAGGGAGAGAGAAAAATGAAAGCATGTAGAAAGAACAAGAGACGGTGAGGGAAGGATGTAAGATGGAGAGATACAACTTCCTATGTTCCTTCCTTAATCCACTGCCATTGAGTTGATTCTGACTCACAGACTGCAACATCCTTCTCCCCTGGAGCGGCTGGCGGGTTCGAACCGGGGGCCTTATTCGTTAGCAGCCAAGCACCTAAGCACTGTACCATCAAGGCTCTGGGTTCCCTCCTTAAGAGCTCTAAATTCTGGTTCCAGCCTGAGACCAGCTGCTTATCTGCCCTGAGATTCTGTGGGACACAACTGCATACTTAAAATATTCGTCTTTTGGCTAAAGCTAATGTAGGTGGGCTTTTTGTTATTTACAACCAACTGCAAGAGTTAGAATGGGGGGGAAAAGGTCTATCAGTCAGGATCCAACCAGAAAAATACTTAAGAATTTAAAACAGGGAATTTAATGTAGAGAATTGGTTACAGGTAAAAGAAGAGCTGAGAAGCTGAAAAGGGATGGTGAAGCAATCCACAGACTAGCAACAGCAGGAAGCTGCTAACATCCTTGGGCTGGGGCACAAAGAGAGAACCTGGGGTGACCAGAGCTCAGGAGCCAGACAGCCTGGTGACAGAAGCAGGAACATCAGTGGCTATGGCTCTAAGACAACCTTCTAACTTGAAACTGAACAAACTCACAGAGGCCACCGTTCAGCCAAATAATAGACGGGGCTACAAAATAAACAATAACGCCCATGAAGACTGTGCTCCTTAGAACAATCAACTATATGAGACTAAAAGGGCAACATCCACCCAAAACCAAAGATGAGAATCAGGGAGGGACAGGGAAACCAGACTAATGGAAACAGGGAATCCAGGAAGGAAATGGGGAGAGGGCTGACACATTGCGGGGACTGCAACCAATGTAACGGATCAATCAGTATAAGAATCATCGATTAGAAAACTGATTTGTTATGTAAACTTTCATCTAAAGCACAATAAAATGTTTGGGGGAAAAGAAAAAAAAAAAAGATCTTGGCTTCTCTTTTCTCTCAGCCCTTTTCTCTCCTATCAGTGAACTCAGATGGAACCCAGTGGGTAACGTTACTTGACTTACCGTTTTCCCGACAACTCTTTTTGATCTACTCCCTCATCCTGCTCCACAAGTATGCTGCTGTTGTTGGTTGCTGTCGACCTTACGGATAACAGAACAAAACACTGCCTGGTCTTCATGATCACTGGTATGTTTGAGCCCACTGTTGCAGCTACTGTGTTAATCCATCTCAGGGAGGGTTTCCCTTGTTTTCGCTGACCCTCTACTTTACCAAACATGATGGCCTTTTCTAGTGACTCGTCTTTCCTGATGATGTGTCCAAAGTAAATGAGCTGAAGTCTCACTATCCTCTCTTCTAAGGAGCACTCTGGCTGTATTTCCTCTAAGACTGATTTTTTCTTCTTCTGGTAGTCTACAGTATATTCAATATATATATATATATATATATAAAGTAACAGCTTTATTAAGATATAATTCACATACTATAAGACTATAACATAGCAATTTGATAGTTATCATTCCTTTCAAAAATACATGGACAAGCTCCTCTTTGTTGTTGCTGAGTGCCGTCAATATTCAGTATTTTTTGCCAACATCACAATTCAAATGTGTCAATTCTTCTTCAATCTCCTTTTTCGCCGTTCCGCTTTTGCATGCCTATGAGGTGACTGAAAGGACTATGGCTTGGGTCATGTGCACCTTACTCATCAAAGTGACATCTTTGCTTTTTAACACTTTAAAGAGGTCTTCTGCTCACGTATACTGTGTTGTTGTTGTGTGTCGTCGAGTTGATTCTGACTCATGTTGTTGTCGTTGGTAGCTGCTATTGAGTCATTTCTGACTCACAGTGACCTTATGTATTACAGAACGAAATGCTGCCTGGTCCTGTGGCATCCTCACAATTGTTGCTATGTTTGAGTCCATTTTTGCAGTCACTGTGTCCATCTTGTTGAGGGTTTTCCTCTTTTTGCTGACCCTCTACTAAGCATGAGATCCTTCTCCAAGGATTGGTCCCTCCTGCTAACAGAGTACAACTGCCCCATAGGGTTTCCTAGGCTATAATCTTTACAGGAGGGGATTGCCAGGTCTTTTCTCCTGTGGAGTTGCTGGTGGTATCACACTGCTGACCTTTCTGGTTCAAGGCTTTGAATCAGTTCCTCCCAGTTCAGTCATGGCTGAGGAAGTGAAACCAGAACAGACTCAAATTTTTAAAATCTGAGTGAACAGGAATGATAACCAGAATGGGAAAAATTATGGGTCAAAGCCTAATCTCCCTTTTAGAAAACAAGGGTAGCATACACACTGCATAGCAACCAAATCTCCTGTCCTTCAAATTTTGAGCAGAGTCAGAAACAACGGTGCCCCGCCCAAAGACGGTAGCCAACTCTGCTGCTTTGAATGTGTGTAGCTCTCCACAGTCCTGCCAATAATCTAATCTCATGCATCAGGCCCCTAAAAGAGCTCATTATGCCTCTTCCAAGTCTCCCATTCCAGGGCTCCAACCCATAATTTTTCCCATTCTGGTTATCATTCCAGATCACCCAAATTGTAAAAATGCATGTCCATTGCATCTTTGCTTTGTTAGTATGACTGAACCAGTTCAAAGCCCTGTTCTGGTGAGCAGCTGAACGCTTAACCATTGCGCCACCAGGGTTCCTTGCAAAAGTATAGCCTATTCTGGCAACATGTGTACTGTTTAATGAGAAACTATTTTGTTCTACAAACCTTCATCTAAAGTGAGAATAGCAGCACAACTGGAAGAATGTAATCAATGTCACTAAATTGAGCATGTAGAAATTTTTGAAATGGTGTATCTTTGGCTTTGTATATTTTCACCAAAAAAAAAAAAAAAGAAGGTCGAGAAGGGAGAGTATTGACATGTCACGGGGTTGTTAACCAATGACATAAAACAATATGTGTACTGACTGTTTAATGAGAAACTATTTGTTCTGTAAACCTTCACCTAAGGTACAATTAAAAGAAAAAAAAAAGTCTAGCCTCTGCCAATTTCTGAAAGTAGGTTCAGGCCCACCCTCTCCCAACAGGTATGTCGTTATCCATTTAGAAATTTATACTGTAAGCATCAATGAAAAGGAAAAGCACTTTGATCAGTATCCTATACTAAAAACAACTGCTTGGTTAGTTTTCTCAGGCCTATGTCATGCCTAAGCAGTGGCTACCAAGGCTTCAGACCTACAGAGCACAGAGCAGATTCTAAACCAAAATGAGCTCAAACCAAAAAAAAAAAAAAAAAAAAAA